GGGACTTGATGATAACAACTGTAGCTGAATCACCCATAGCACCATACACCACCGGAAGGTTCTGTGCCCAAATTTAGTCTGCCTCCGCCTGCAAACGGTCAAACCAGAAAACAGCCCGCAGACTGACATCAATCACCAGGAAGTCGTCCGCTTGCCGCCCCACTCAGAAAACTGGCATCCGGCCTGCAGGCCCACTTCAGCCCTTGGATCACCGCCCGTTTGGCCACCTTCAGACGTCTTGACATGTCCATCAGTTGGGGTTTGGAAATTAGCGCGGCACACACAGGCGGCAAGGGGTTCTCCTGGTTTCTCAGTCTATGTGGTTGGTTCTTGAATACCTATGACTCTGTTTACCCCTCGTGAGCTTTTTGCAACTGACTTCATCATCTGCTTTTTCTGATTCTCATCAATCAACTTCTTTTCCAAAAACCAACCCAATTCTTCTTTGATCACCCGATTGCCATATTGTTGTCTTAGAGGTCTCCTTATCCAACAGGCTCATCACACATGGTCTGCTTTCTCCTTGTTCTCCTGTTTCTTGAATTCGATCTTGCCCAAACCTTCTTTAGCTGTTAATCAGAATTCACAACCCCAAGACTGACGCACTCGTGGACACGCCCGTTCCAAACCTCAAGTTGCTATGGCACCGGGTATGTTCCCTCCTCACACATCCACAATTGATTATGTTTCTCATTGTGTTGCTGATACTTGTCTTCAACTCACAAATCACAAACAGAATGGGCACCGCGGGCGTTCACGCTGATGCTAACGTTCGTGGGCCAATAGTAATACCAATGGGCCCACTTATGCTTGAATCGCTTATCTAGGCTGTTCCCATTCCAATTCACATGTCTTATCTCAAACAGAGTCTTACACCCAAATCAATCGATCACTTATTGACCAGAATCAATGCCACTTCTCTAATTTGAGATCGTTCCAGATTCTACAAAGTTGTATATCGAACAGAAACAGAGCCTTCAACTTCGAGAACGTCTTCGAGGAACTTGAAGGAAACTGCGACTTTGCGCAGCCGACCAACAAGCTTTTTCGAGATGCCATTGTTGAAAAACAAGGCAGTGCAGATATTGAGTAAGGTTGATTTACTCTTGGCCTGATTCAAGAATGAATCTCCTTCAGATGGTCGACAACAACCCAAGTTTCGCTCTCTCTTTTTTCATTATCTTTTCTCACACTGGCACAGAAGTTGCCGCGCTATTCAAATTGATGCGCCTATCCTTCAACCCAAAGCTGTATCGCGATTGAACCACAGCTCACCTTGTGAACTGTGTTTTTCATTGTGCCCATCTCACAGATCTTACAATTGAAGAATTGTGCGCGTACATATGTACTTTGATTGTTTCCTTTTGTATCGTGCTTTTTATGTGCCTATCCCCAACAAAACTGCCAGCAAACTGTTTTTCACTGTGCTTTTTGTTCCCCACCCCTAATTGACAATAAAAGACTTTGTTTGATTCCCCTAATATATCCTGAGTTCTATGGTTTTTAACCGATGATTCTTGTGTCTGGGTGAGTTTTCAAAAGGTGCCTGTCCGTTGTAATTTCATTACCACAGGCAATCCACTGGCTGGCGACTTTTTGTGGCCTCGTTTGCAGCCAAAGGGCGCCTCAGGCGTTCCATTTGTGGGCGGTCTGCGTGAGGTCGACCTAAGGACGGCCCTTCACCGCAGACGGGAGGGCCGCCCTCCGCTGGGCTCCCTGGTCGGACCTGAGGCGGTCCAAACCGCCCGGTGGTGTACCTATTCTTTGACAAGGAATTAATTAGGGTGGTATAAGTTCTTCCTCTTTAGCATGTCTATCATAATTTCTCTCATTTCATATTGGTCAATTTTACCAGGGACCCAGACTTAATGAAAGAGTGTTACAACCTTTAGGATCAGATCAAAGCATTTTCATCAACATATTTACAAGGACATCTGAAGAAATTATTGTTCTAGATTACTCAACAGAAGAAGAATTGGAAGTCTTCATACCAAGCTCAACTGGTAAGACAAAAAGAAATTAGTTCACAATCAAACCAACTTATATATAGGTTTTTGTGATGTGAATTCAAAAGATGAACAGAGGTGTCAAGAGCGGAAAGCATTGAAAGTTGATGAAGATAGCTTGTTGTTAGGTCTTTGGTGTTTCGCTTGATTGATGAATGAAGCAGGAAGTTTTCCAAACAAATCCAACTGATGGTATACTTCAGTGATCAGTGTCATTCCACTTGTTTTCATCTCATTTTGACTTTGAAATTATCTTGAGTACAAATACGTTTCCTGCAGATGTTGAAACAGTTTAACAAAGGCTGCATGTCACCTGCACGGAAGGGAGTATTCATGCAGTCGCCTCAGAACTCAGATCATGATGCAAAGGGATCCAATATGATACGATGAGAAAATGTTTCCATTTCACTCATGAACCTCAAATTCACTGGGTCACCGTATAGAAGAAAGCTTCGTGAATCCTCAAGTCGAAAATGATTTAGTATTCTTGAGTATCGTATATACATTTATGATTTCTCGGGACACGATTGCAATCTGGTAATTGATGGACTCATCAAGAGTTAGATCGATAGTTCGCCTTTCGCCTTACGAAAGAGCTTCTTTCTTGGATTTGAGCTTGGAAATTTGATGATCAGTGTGACCCAAGAAGCAAGGTCAAGGGACATTCGCCCTGTATACAGAGTCAGTGAGTCAGCATAATGCTGCGCAGCCCATGAGACTGCGGAACCGATCACTGTACTTCCAGACCTAGCAACCGGTTGAGTCGATAGATGGTGTGTTAGGGTTAACGACTCGGTTCAGCGCCTTGGCAAATCCGCCTCCCTACTCGCCCCCTTGCCCAACGTTATCCTCAAGACACACGACGAGCCCTTACCGGTCGGACCAACTGAACTTCCTCAAGACTCGTCATCATGGGTACGCTAAAATCAAACAAACCAGAAAAGATCAATCAATCAATCAAATAAAGAAATCATGTCACATTAATTTAAGCTCTTTTGTCATCTTGATCTTTTCTTTTTAGTCAACATTCCAAAGACCCGACGTACCTATTGTAAAGGAAAGACTTGCAAGAAACACACTCCTCATAAGGGTTAGCATCATTGTACTTTTGTTTATGATTTATTTCTATTTACCTCGAAAATTTCAATTTCTTGAACCGATTCAATATCAAACAACCAAGAAAAGATGACTGATTAAATCATTATTTTTTCATTTATTTAGTCACCCAGTACAAGGTTCGCGCCTACCTCCTTTCTAACAAAAAGCCAATAAAATTTAGATTCGAAGTTATTTCAATCACTGACTTCACCTTCATGGTCTTCTGATCACACGAATGGGCGTTTTTTC